TATTAAATGGTGTGTATGTTAATTGGTGTGTTTATCAATTGGTGTGTATATTAATTGGTGTGTATATTAAGTGGTGTGTTTATTAAGTGGTATGTTTATTAAGTATTACATTTATTAATTGGTGTGGTTTTTAAGTGGTGTGTTTATTATTTGGTGTGTATATTAATTGGTGTGTTTATTAAGTAGTGTGTTGGTGTGTTTATTAAGTGTTACATTTATTAAGTATTACGTTTATGAAGTGGTGTGTTTATTAAATGGTGTGTATATTAAGTAGTGTGTATATTAATTGGTGTGTTTATTAATTGGTGTGTTTATTAATTGATGTGTGTATTAATTGGTGTGTATATTAAGTGGTGTGTTGGTGTGTTTATTAAGTGTTACGTGTATAAAGTGTTATGTTTATTAATTGGTGTGTTTTTTGAGTGGTGTGTATATTAAGTGGTGTGTTTATTAATTGGTGTGTTTATTAATTGGTGTGTTTTTTAAGTGGTGTGTTTATCAATTGGTGTGCTTATTAAATGGAGTGTATGTTAAGTTGTGTGTTGGTGTGTTTATTAATTGGTGTGTTTTAGTGTTGTGTTTATTAAGTGCTACGTTTATTAATTGGTGTGTTTTAGTGTTGTGTTTATTAAGTGCTACGTTTATTAATTGGTGTGTTTTTTAAGTAGCGTGTTTATTAATCGGTATGTTTATTAGCTTAATAATTACCTTAATCCCGTGTTTATCCCATCTTTTCCCCCAAACCCCCGTGTGTTTTCCCCCAAAACCCCGGTGTGTTTCCCCCTAAAAATCCCATATTTTCCCCCAAAAATCCCGTATTTTCCCCCAAACCCCGGTATGTTTCCCCCCAAAAATCCCATATTTTCCCCCCCAAAAATCCCATATTTTCCCCCCCAAATCCCATATTCCCCCCCCAATCCCGTATTTCCCCACCCCGGTGTGTGTCTCTGGCTGCAGGTGGCCATTGCCATTGAAGAAGTCAGCCGCTGCCACCTGCGCTTCACCTTCCGTCACCGCTCGTCCCAGGAGTGTGAGTGTCCGGGGGCTGCTTTGCTGCTTATTCACGCTGTTGTACATTTGGGTTTTTTTTTTTTTTTTTCTCTTGATCTGTTTGTTTGTTTATTCCCAGTTTTTTTCTTAGCAAAAAAATCCTTCCTGTTCTTTGCGCCCAAATTTTGGTTTTGTCCCGGAAATGAAATTTGATAAGGAGCAACATTTTATTCCGCCCCCCCACACGATAATTATCGATGTTTTTTTACTGCTTTGAGTTCTCGGTGTAGGGTGTTGGTTTTGATTTGTTTCAGGAAATTCAGTGCAAAGGCCTGGTGGGTTTCTAATGATCTTCCTACAGGAGGATTTCTAATTAGGCTAATGAATGGCTAATGAGAGAGTTAAAGCCAGAAGTTCCGTGAAATCAGAGCTCTGAAATGAGATCAATAATGTGAGGCTCAGCCTTTGAAAGGTTCTCAGAGGTTCTGAAGGCAGTGACATCCTTCCAAATCCACAGCTTATAAACCAAAATTCCAGCCAAAAGATCAATGTAATTTTATATCAGAGGATCACTGAATTGTTAAGGTTAGAAAAGACTTGGAAGATCAAGGAGTCCAACCATCAATTTATCCATCCATCCATCAGCACAAAAACCACTGCAATTGTGGGTGGGGATGCTCCAGAGGATGTGTTTGTGTAGTTACCCATTAAATACTGCTTAATAAACTAATAAATCAATTAAATAATGAAATCATGAGGTCAGAGGGCTGCATTTTGGATTGTGTGGACATGAAGAACTCAGTTGTAAATGAAGATTTCTGCTGTTTGCAGCCAGGGACAGATCTGAGAGAGCTTTTGGCGTGGGCTTTGTGAAGCTGATGAATGCAGATGGGACGACGCTGCAGGATGGCAAACACAATCTGATTGTTTACAAGGTAACCTGGGCATTTCCTGCCTTGGCTCGTGTTTAAATCATCAAAACTCTCTCCTGGCTGATTTTTCCAAGCAGTGGAAAGCTACAGAATGTGTAGGGTGGGAAATCTTCCTGAGCTCTGTGGCTTTGGAAATATCTCAGTTCATTTTGCAGCATGGGCAACTTATCCCTGAAATTAGAAACTCAAACAGTGATAGAGGTGAAAAAGTGTTTTCATCAAACCCACTCTGGCTGTCACTGTGGGATGTGACCCTTCTCTGTGCCATCACAACAGGGTGACAACAAGAAAATGGAAGATGCCAAGAGTTATTTGACTCTTCCTTGCACCAAAATGGAGATGGAGGAGAAGGAGGCTCCCTCAGGGAAAAACCTGCACCCTCTGGCCAACTTCACCCCCACGAAGGACAGCACAAAGGACAGCTTCCAGATTGCCACTGTCATCTGCTCCACCAAACTCACCCAGAATGGTAGGGCTCGTGCTGGGGCTCTGAAATGCAGAGGGAATTTTCTCCAGGCAGGTTTTTCTGCGTGGGCAGAGAGCTTCAGCTTTCATTTCGCTCCTCAGTGGCAGCCCTGTGCCATCAAGCTGCCAGAACAAACTCCCAGAATGTTTGTGCAGCCTTTAGAAACTTTTTCACACAAATATTGGGTCCAGACTGCCGGTGTTAAACCCAACAAGTTTGTTGGCACGTGTGGAAATGTCACCTGTCAGTGGCAGTGTCTGTGTTCTGTCAGAATTTTAAATATTTCAGGTTAATTGCCTTCTTTGCTCTGTGTGTTCAGAGAGCTGCAGTTCGGGCTGAGCTGCCCAGGGTGATGGTGTGAATTAACTCTGCCAAAGGCACCAAAATGAAGAGAGGTGTGTGAATGAGTCCAGCCTGTGCTGGTGAATGATGGCAGACTTCCCACTCTGGGCTAAGTCATGCACTTTAATAGAATTCCTGGCTTGAGATACCTGCTCTTGAGTCCATAAAAAAAAATCCAGCAGGATGGTTTTATCTCCAAATGTGTTATCAGATGGCAGCCAGCTTTCCATTTATAGCAGAGCTTGGCTGCTTTGCCAAGACAAAAGCAGCACCTCAAGGTAACACTCTGTACCTCGGGGTGACTTTATTCCTTGTCTGGCTCTAAAAATAATCCCCAGCCTTGCTGGGGGTTGTTCAGTCAGCTGGGAGCTGTGATTTTTGCTCTGTGTCCTTGCAGTTGACCTGCTGGGATTGCTGAACTGGCGCTCCAACTCCCACAACATCGCCCACAACCTCAGGAAGCTCATGGAGGTGGAAGGAGGAGAAATTGTGAAGGTATTCCCAGGGATCTGAGCATCCTTGGGGCACAGACTCTGGTGTTGGACCCAGAGGTGTCTGGTGGGCTGGGAGGGCAGTTCTGGGAGCAATGGGGGGGGATCATCAAATCACAGAATGGTTTGGATTGGAAAGGAACTGGAAATCAGCTTTTCCCACCCCCTGCATGGGCAGGGACACCTCCCAATGTCCCAGGGTGCTCCAACCTGGCCTTGGACACTTCCAGGAGCAGCCACAGCTCCTGTGGGAGCCTGGGCTCCACCTCTCGTTAGAGGAATTCACCAGAATTATGAAAGTTAAATACTGCAGGGATCAGGGAGAGGGCGGTGACTTCATTTTCCCCTTTATGAAATAAGAAATACATCCAGAGAATAAATTTTAATTTTCAACTCCTTCGTGAATGAGGAGGGACTTGCTGTGAATTTAGGAGTGCAGACAGCCCAGAGATCTCATGGAATAGTGTGGGGAGAGGACCTGAAATGGGGAGAGTTCCAACAGAAAACAGGAATTCCCTGCTCTGCTGAAGGATTTAGGGGGAAGTCTTACCTGCAGAGAGGGGTCCCAGGAGTGAATGTGCTGGGATTTTGCAGGCCATGGTTTTATGGAGTTAATTCTGTGTCACTGCAGACAGGCTGGGCTGGTTTGGAGAGGTCAGGATTTTATCCTTTGGGATGAAGAGACAATCGAGGAGCAAAGTGGGGCCATTCAGAGCTGAGGAGAAAATATATTAATTACTACAGAGATGATTAATCATGTGCATGAACACGGGGCTGGGATCCCTTTTCAGATATTTTCTCATGGACAGGTTTTACAGTTCAGGAAGGGGGGAAATGATCCAAGCCATGCTCCTGTGCAGGGTGCCTGCAGCAGTTCCCTTTCCCACCCTTTCACTGCTCCTTTTCCCCTCTAGTTTTTGCCTGACACCCTCGATGCACTTTTCAACATCATGATGGAAATGTCAGAAAATGAAACTTATGATTTCCTGGTGTTTGATGCCCTGGTGAGTGAATTTTCTGTGGGTTCAGAGTTTGTTTTCAGCCACATTTCCAGTCTGTTCCTGGTGATTCCAATGAGCTATTGGTATTTTGCTCTAGAAATAAATGATATTTAAATGCTTCCTGACTGAAATACACATCGGGTTTTTAGTAGCCACAGTGAAAAGAGTAATAAATTGCACACACACATATTTAGTGACTGTTTGAACATGAATAATGCTGTCTGTAGCATTAATGCTGTTGGTAAACCAAAAATTACAACCCAGCAAAAGAAATGGAATTAGAGACTGTTCTGTTGGAGTTACTGTCAGCTCTGTGCATCTGTTTCCTTCTGGATTTATGGCAGGTATTTATTATTTCTTTGATTGGAGACATCAAGTTCCAGCATTTCAACGCTGTGCTTGAGACCTACATCTACAAACACTTCAGTGCAACCCTGGCCTATGTGTGAGTATGGGTGCCAAGGCTTGGGTGTCACCCAGCAGTGTCCCCTGGGGGCCTTGGGGATGGGCTCAGCTCCTGGTGCTGTGTTTGATTGGGTAATTTTGGATGATGTTAATGTGATAAAGGCAGCAGGGAGCAGAGTTCCATCCCTCCTCTTATTGCTCTTTTTGCCCTGTAAAAAATTCTGTTGGGAGATTTTTTTATTTTTTTTTTTTTCTGTCAGAACAGACAGAAAAGACACTTTTGTCGTGGATCTTTGTTTTCCAGCCCCTTGATCAACCAAAGGTCATCACCCTTGTGGTAACAGAAGTGAGAAGTTAAAACCGAGGCCATCAGGGAGAGCAAAACCAGAAACCAAACTCTCTTCCTCTCAGAAAAATCTCTTCTTACTTTTTACTGATCCATGAATTCATGGATGGATTCCTAAGAAAACACAATTTAGGGAAACACCCCAAAGGAAACACAATTCCCCACGGATGAATTCCTGGCTGTCACCCTAAAGGAAACCCAATTTGAAGTCTCCTTATCCTGGAATTCCTCCTTCCCTGCCCTGCCACTCGTGATTTCATTTTCTCCTCCTGCTCCACACGTGGGAGTTCTCACAAAGGGAGAATCCAGTCCCTTATCCTGGGATTTGCAGCTTCCTGGGATTTGCAGCTTCCTGGACAGCTCCTTTTAGGGCAAAAGCAAAGCAGGGCAGGAGGGTGGCACCTGTAGGGTTTTAGCCCAGAATTTCAGGAGGAAATGGCTCTGAGGAGGAGCTCTGTGATGTTCATGAACCTGCAGCTCCTCTCTGGGATGAGCAACTCGGGAGCTGAGCCCTGCCTCTATTGGTTCCTCTTTTTGGTTTTATTTCCAAAGGAAACTCACCAAAGTCCTGAACTGCTACGTGGGGAATGCTGAGGACTCCAGCAAGACAGAGCTGCTCTTTGCAGCCCTGAAAGCCCTGAAATACCTGTTCAGGTTCATCGTGCAGTCACGGGTGCTGTACCTGAGGTGGGTCCAGCCCTTCCAGCCCTGGCAGCCCCACTGGAGTTCCTTCCAGTAAATATCACCAAAAGGAATATTCTTCACCAAATCCTCCATCATTGAATGATTCAGAGGATCTTTCTGCCCTTTGTCTGTGGCTGGAACAAATAAATTGAGCAAAAAATTAAAATATCAGAGTAGAAGGGAGAAAAAACTTCTAGTCCTCCATGACATGCAACAGGCAGGACAGAGTAGAGCTGAAAAGGAACCCAGTATTTATTTTTATAAAATAAAACCTCCTCATTTTCAGGAACTTAAGAAACAAATACACAGATATTTAGATCATTAGGTGAGGTGAGGGATGACACGTTCTCCAGTTGGGATAAAATCAATGCCAGTGGTTTAATTACAGCCTCAAAACAGCTTTCCAGAGATTCCCAGTGAGGGTTTGAAACCCTTTATTCATGTCCATTCTGGATTTTTTTTTTTTTCTGTTTAATACTTGGAACCCAAGCAGAATTTGCTGCAGTGGCAGCACCAAAAATGCAGTTTTTTCCCTTATAACAAATTCCAGAGAGGAAATGACTGCAAATTCTCCAATTCCATTTTTACCCCCATGTGTTTGTAGAAGGATTGGGCAGTAAGATGTGATTGCATGGGATAAAATCCTGTTTCAGCTGCTGCATTTCTGTGTGTGACTGCCCTGTTCTTTGCAGTGTTTATGGGAAGAGTGAGGATGGGAATGAATTCAATGATGCAATTCGCCAACTGTTCCTCTCCTTCAACGTCCTCATGGACCGGCCCCTGGAGGAGGCTGTCAAGATCAAGGTGAGCACAATTTCCAGGGAAAATTAAAAATCCTTTATTGGATCAACTGGTGTAGTTGTGAAGGGGCTGGGCCAGAAAAAGGAATGAGAGAATTATCCATGAATCCATTCTCCCCCACCTTTCCCACCCTGCACTGCAGATCTGGGCTGGCTGGAGGTTCTGGGGATGCATAAATCTGATTTTAAACCAGTTCTCCCCATATTTGACAAGCCCTGGATTTCCCGTGTGCATTTCATGTCTTTCGTTTCTTTCTTCTTTCAGGGGGCAGCTTTGAAATATTTGCCCAGCATCATCAATGATGTCAAACTGGTGTTTGACCCCGTTGAGCTCAGGTAAGTGCTTTGAGTTTGTTTGTCCTCTAAACCCAGCTCACCTGGTGGGAAAAATGTTGGAAACTTGGTTAAAAAAAAGCCCCTCTGGTCATGATCTGGTGCTGCAGATCCTGTGCTTGGACTTGAGGAAGCCACTGGAGTTCAGGGGATTCTCTGCATCCCAGTTTTTCATTCTGGGAGTATCCAAGGCCAGGTTGGGCAGGGTTTGGAGTGACCTGGGATAGTGGGAGGTGTCCCTGCCCATGGCAGGGATGCAGCTGGGTGATTTTAGGGTCCCTTCCTACCCAAATCATCCCAGGATTTTGGGATCCTTGCAGCCACCTTGAGATTTTACTGAAAAGCAAAATCTGAGGGCAGTGAAGAGTAGAAATCTTGTGCAAGTTTCCACCAGTTCTTGAATGCTCCTGAAAAGTGTGGCAAAGGCAGAGCCTTGGCTGGGAAACCAAAACTTGTGTTCAGCCAGGAAATTCTCAGCCCTGTGGATTCCTGGTTCTGGTGCTCAGGGCTTTGCCCAGAGCTGCCCAGCCCTGTCTCCTTGTCCTGACACAAATGATTTGCTGGGAAGCAGCAGACAGGCAGCAAATGCCCATGGAATTTAATTTAAGGGAATCTTGGGCTGGAGTGAGTCACCACTGCTGATGAAAGGGGCACTGCAAGGAGGATGTGCCTTGGCTGCTGTGGATTTTCCAAGTTTCAAAATGAATTCAAAATGAATCTTTCCAACCTCTTGCTTTGCCTGGCTGTCACAGTGGTTATCCTGTGCTGGCCCTGGAGGGACAGAGCAGTGCTTGTTTAGAGGGTTTGTGATGGGCCTGGTGTGTCCTGGAATAAATAAAAGTCTCATTTCAAGATGTTTAAGCCTTCAGTTCCTGAGCACTGCTCAGTTTTACTTCAAGTCCTGTGCTAAATTTCTTGCAAATAAGTCCGAGCTCTGTAGTAATTTGCCTGTTGGATGGAATTCCCAGAGGAGCTGTGGCTGTCCCTGGATCCCTGGAAGTGTCCCCAGGCCAGCTTGGAGCACCCAGGGACAGTGGGAGGTGTCCCTGCCCATGGCAGGGGTGGAACTGATGAGCTTTAAATCCCTTCCATTGTGGGATGCTGTGGTTTCTCTCTGGCCCAGGTGCAGGGCAGTGTTGGGAAGGATGAATTAGGAAAACCTTATAAATATGAGTGCCTAGCAAAAGACTTTGAGAATATGGAAAATAGAAGTGAAATAGAAATGAGAGCAATTTTCGACTGTGTGTGGCTGAAAGCAACTGAATGCCTGAAGGCCCCTTGGTTTAGATCATGTTTGATGCTGCAAATACCAAAAATCAAACAGACATCCTCCCTAGGCATGGCAGGAAGGGTCTCAGATAAAATTTAGAGATGAGAAAAGCAGTAAAACATGGTAATATGGTGATTGCTATAGGTTGCATGCAAATGTTAGAGAATTTGTATCTTGTATTAGATTGGTGAGTGGAAATGAGAATATTCCACATAGAAGATTTAATGTATTGTAAAGGGGAAAATCGCTCTCTTATGCTCTTACTCTCTTCGTTCTTACTTTTTTAAGCTCTCTTAAACTTTCTTCTCTTACTCTCACTCTGTCCCTCTCTCTGTCCTGCTCTGAGCTGTGGCTGCAGTTCCCAGCAGGGCCTTTTATAAACCCACACCCTATAAAATAAACTGCAAAACTTTGAGACCAGAATAAAGAGAGAGCCTGAGTTTATCCCGACCGTGCCAAGGCAGAGATTCCTACAGGGCAGTGTCCTGTGGGATGGATGGATGGATGGATGGATGGATGGATGGATGGATGGATGGATGGATGGATGGATAAATGGGAATTCTGACCCTCTGCTCTCTCTGGGCTGCACACAGTGTCCTCTTCAGCAAGTTCATCCAGAGCATCCCTGACAACCAGCTGGTGCGGCAGAAGCTGAACTGCCTGACCAAGATCGTGGAGAGTGACCTGTTCAGGCAGGCTGGTGAGTGGCACTTGGGGGCTCTGGGCTCTGCCAGGGGCCACAAACCCCTCAAAACGAGTTCCCCTGTCACTCATCAGGGGCAGTCCTCCATTAAATCCAGCTCCAGAAATGTTTCTGGCCGTGGAAGAACTGGAAGAGTTTTTTTTTTGCTGTTCAGTCTTTATGTGATGTGAAAAATGTGGGATCCTGGCCCAGGGTGGTGGTTTAGGAGGAGGGAGAAGTTGAGGGTGCTGTTTGATGGAATATACAGAATTTATAAACGAAGGGGTGGGGTTAGATGGGATGCTGGGGAGGAATTCCTCCCTGTGAGGGGCTGGGATGGAATTCCCAGAGGAGCTGTGGCTGTCCCTGGATCCCTGGCAGTGTCCAAGGCCAGGTTGGAGCCCCCTGGGACAGTGGGAGGGGTCCCTGCCATGGCAGGGCTGGGATGGGATGATCTTTTTAGTCCCTCCCAACCCATTGTGGGATTCCATGATCCAAATCAGAGATCATTTATGACTCTCTCCAGTGGGTTTGTTGTGGCTTTAACAAGTTCTGGTGTCCCAGGTGGACTCAGATGCTGACCCTGCTGTGAGTGGCCGTGCTGAGGCCCTGCTCTGTCCCTGTGTCCCTTTGCAGAGTGCAGAGATGCCCTCCTGCCCCTGCTCATCGATCAGCTGAGTGGGCAGCTGGATGACAACTCCAGCAAGCCCGACCACGAGGCCAGCTCCCAGCTCCTGAGCAGTGTCCTGGAGGTCCTGGACCGCAAAGATGTGGTGAGAACAATCTCTCAGGGCTGCCAGTTCAGCTCAGCCCTTCCTCTGAGGGGTTACAGTAAAGAAACATCCTCAATCTATGCTTTAATGAGTCAGAATTATGATTTTTATAGAAACTGTGGTGCCTTGCTGTGCAGTTCTTTGTAGTGGCTCTGTCTGAAAAGGAGGCAGGAAAGGTTGAATTAGTTGTTATCACTACTAGAAGCATTTACTTCCCTTTCCAGAGACCAAAATGTCATCCCAGCTGCTTTGGTGGCTTGTTCAGTGATTTGGAGCAAGTCAAAGAAGTATTAAATGGTATAAAAATGAGGAGGTTGCAGATTCTCTGTTAGGGAATGGGGACAACAGTCACTGTTCAGCCAGAAAAATGCACTTCCCACTGTGGCCATGGGAATTGTTCTGAGTGGCTGTGAACAGAGTGCTTTGAACTGTTCAGAGAAAACAAATCAAAAGCCCAGGATGAGCTGATGAAGCTGGGACAGGTCCATTAAGGGAATTCTCCACCGAGTGAATCCCAGAGCGTTTGAATCGATCGCTCGTGTGCTTGAATCTCCTTTTTCTGCTCCCTCTAATGACAATTAAGACTGCCAGGGCAGTCCTCCCCCACGGGGAGCTGTCCCTGAGGAGTGCTCTGCAGTGTCCCTTGCTGTCCCCAGGGTGCCACAGCTCTGCACATCCAGCTGATGATGGAGCGGCTGCTGCGCCGGATCAACCGCACGGTGATCGCCATGAGCCGCCAGTCCCCGCACATGGTCAGAGCCTCCTGCCCTCCCTGCTCCTCT